TGGCCTTGGATACTTTTCTTTCAAGATGCGTCTCAAGCTTTCAGTAGAACATGAATAAAAATTATGAGGCAAATTGAAATATACATCCATATAGTCATTTTCCTGTATATTGGCTGTATATTTGCAAAACTGATGTCATGTTTTTCTCATTTCTACTTAAGGGCCACTCTATGGATTGAAACCTGCGCTTAGACAACTGGGGAGTTGAGTTGCTCTTCCAGTAATATGTGAGCTTTCAGAATGGTCAATAAAGTACTTGAAAATACTGCATAGAATAGAGAAATAGAAACACACACACACACACTCAGACCAAACCAGATGTAGTTACAGTGATTATTGAGATTTAATTATGAGGCAGTTTTCATATGTGACATTAAAAAAGGATTCAAGCTATTACATGATGTCACATGCAATTTCCCATTTTTCTCAGGCATGATCAGGTTCTTAGCAGTTGCAAATCAGGGCACTAAGATGAATGGCTGAAGTAACACATTCTACTTATTCCAAAGTTATTTGCAGGCCAGGTATTGTCCTCTCTACCCACAATATGTTACGAATACTGACCAAGAGACTGATTATCTGCATCCACTAAAACAGCAATGCATCGTTGAATTCTTTAAAAAGTTTCATTTACCTAATATGTCTGCTATTCCAGAAGGAATGTGTACATGCTTTATATGATACACACATTATTCTACTAATATATTTAACAGTAGGCATTTGTCTCCAAACACACTGTGGATGTTTGTCAGGGAATCTGGATCAAGTACAGATTCTCAGCAGGTGTCTAATATATATTTCTGGGTATTTGGAGAGGCAAACATAATCGCTATGTAAAGTGTGTCTTGACTTCAACAGGGATGGATATAACTAAATCCGAAAAGCTGCAAAATAAAAAAAGTAGCCATGTCAACTGCACAGCAGTTTGGGGATCCTTTGGGGAGTGCTCAAAGTGCAATAGATATCAAACATTCAGAAAAAGAACAGTATAACATCTGCTAGGATGTACCATCTAATGATGTGCTGAAGAGAAATTAAAGTAGACTGGCTACTTTTTTGGACAGAACATTTCCGTTGGCCTTTGGCCCAATCAGTTGTGGGCCATTCTCATCCAAATAAGAGCAATGTGATCATCATCACCATCATTATCATTATCATCACAACTTCTTCACATTATGATACAGATTTATTAACTATGGAAACAAACTGAAAAAAAGACAATGCAATGGCACATCATCAACCTCCCATGACTCACCATGGAAGGATTTTTTGAATGGCAAAATACTCTCACACTTGGTTGAATAAACTCTGAAATGCAGTATCAACTGGTGAATGCATTCACCTGATAAACCCTGCTTTACTGCTTGTTACTGTTATTATTGTGGGTGGTTTTAACTGTATTAATGAATGTTTTTCAGTAAAAATACTTATTTAGAAAGTGTGGATATTGCAGTATACAAGATGTTCAAATAAAAAACCATGTTCTAGTCCCGCTGTAGACACAAGGCTAGCTGAGTGACTTGGGCCAGTCACTAACTCTCAGCCCTAGGAAGAAGACAAGGGCAAACCACTTCTGAAATCTTGCCAAGGACTAGTCCAGGCATTCACCAGGAGTTAACACTGACTTGAAGGTATACGCACACATACTCCCCCCCCCCCAATATTTCATGCTATATTTTTTAAGTATTTGCAGAAAGATAATGCATTAACAATGGCATTGATAAATAGCTGTGCTTTTAAAAGCAAACTCTGGGCAGTGGGGATTATTTGGGGGGGAGGGGGTAAATTTTAAGAAGTAATCTTAAATAAATACACTAATTTGCAAACTGCATCTGCCACTCTAGGCTACTGAAACAATAAATTGTATAGCATAGATCTCTGAGGATTACAAGCATAGCATTTTTTTTAAAAAAATAACTATTACAGTACTTTTGCCTTTAGTTATGTAGTCTGGGTTAAGAATGAATGATAAAATACATGCTAGGATAACTAAGCATTCTTGATGATCTGTGGGAAGGATCCTACAGATGCAAAGCCGTGAATAAACATGTGCATCTGTTAACTGTAGGCTTCTGTACAGCATTTGCTTGTAATAGGGAGGCTACACAGCTGTAACCAGTATAAATCACCAATCTGGAAGATTTTGATTCCATATCACATTCTTTTACTACTTTTTCTGCCCTTTGAACCTCAAATGAACTGACATTACATTAAAAAATACACCACTTCTATTAGTATTCCATAAACTATACCATACAAATTCACAATTCCATTTGTTCACTTCTGTGCATAAGAAGTTCTTCGGTTGTACATTCTTTTCAACTACTCACCCAGCAGGCACAAAACACAGAAGGTTGCCCAGAGGAGTTGCCTCTTCTTCATGATCTTAAAACTCCAGACTAGCATCATTCCCAGTAGAGAAGCAGTGCCTCTGACTAACAACTGAATGATTCGCAGCGCTCCCCTCAGATTTAGTTTCTCTGCTGTGTTCTTGAGGCTTCAGCGTTTCTTCCTGTTAACTGAAGCTTTTTGAGGTCAGTTAATTATGGGATAGGATTCCCTCCTAAAAGATGTGCTTGTGGCTCAAGATTGTGAGGTGGAGTTTTCTGAAGTCTGATCTCATAGCTTTATATAGTTCAGAAGAGTCTGTCAACATCATTGTTAAACTTCCCCTCACCCTACAATAGCACATCACTTAACCCTTTGTGGAAACTCCTTTTCTTTATTATGGACAGGACATAAGCACTGAAATGTATATTCAAATATGGGAACAAAAATTCTATGTAATCTATCATGAACACTGCTGCAGAATTTTAAAACAACATTTCTTCTATTAAAAATAGTTTGATTTGTTGCAATTAAAAAAAAATGGAAATCAAGTACTGACTGCTGAAAGGCACTTTTAATAGTAAGATTTTCTCTGTGGAGGGGAAAGCAAACAAAATGAAGATATAATATTAATTAACTTCAAGTCAACCCAGTAGAGAACTTTAGCTACAAGCATACTGAAATTTAAGGACTTGAGAACAAAATGTTATAAAGCCAGCGGAGTGAGCCTTACTGGGACAGGTAGCAGTTTCCCACTGAACAGAAGATTCACTGTTCTTAAGAATCTTCATAAACTTAATCAAATGTGAGAAAGGACACTTAAAACATTTAGTTAGCTCCTTTCTAAAAACTTCTGGCAGTAATTTACGTGCAATTTTTTGGAAGCTTTGTAATGTTATGCACAAGGTATATTTAGACAATGATTCCATTTTTACTGGAATATCAGCACACATTGATCTAGGAAGTGTGTTATCAGTTGGGCATTAAAGCCCTGTATTATCTATTACAAGGGCAGACAGCCATCTTAATTTGAGGCTCACATACAGAATTTCCACATTGTATTGGCGTTCTCACAAAACCACTATCTTGGGGAGTCATGTACATTCATAAAATGTTGCCATGGTGAGCAAGAGCCGTCACAAAACAAAACCACAGTATTTTATTACCAGTTCCCTGTCACCTTTTCTAGTCCCTCGGGACAGACTCTTCCTGACTACCACACTTTTCTTTATATATTTCATATCCTTATTATAGGGTGGCTTCAGTGGTCTGATATGTATTTTTCAGTGTCCTACAGTGGAACTGGTGCTCTTATCCAAGCACTGTAGTGAAAAGAGAACGGGCCAATTGGACTGGTTAGTCATAATGGTTACTATCTCTGTTTTTTCTATTTACTGAGTTAATCAGTAGAGTCTCATTAAGCAATCACAGTTTTGATACTATTCTTGTTTGATGTCCGATCAGGCTCCAATACACCCACACAAAGAAGCTATCTTATAATAGATCAACTGATTGTCTGATGGATGACCTCTCTCAGAAGAGAGACAGAGGCAGTGCAATCTTGATGATATGCTAGATTTTTCAGTGCATTTTGATACCATTAACCACAGTAGCTGGTAATGCCCAGTTATACTTCTCTTTTCCTGCAAGGTCAGAATTACACATTTTAAGAGAACAAGCTTGAGCTGAGTTTTGACAGGACAGAGTTTTTGATCATTCTTCAAGATTTGAATGATATGCCTGGCCTAGATGGGATTCCATTATTTCTTGAGGAACTGAGTCACAATCTGTGTGTGTGTGTGTGTGTGTGATGGTAAATATACTTTACTAATTCTGTCAATTTTAATTTCATTCTAAGAGTAAACTGGTCCAACCACAGATGAGATTCACAATGCAGTTGTTTTCAATCTGTATATACAGCAATAAGCAGTTTTATGTTTCTTGCATTTTTCATACATTCACCCAACATGTTCAAAACACACAATGCACTTCTTTTTCTTCTTGCCCTTAAACTGCAAAGAAGCATCATTCTCAATAGTGAACTCTTAAGCAGTGATTATGAACAAAATATATGTTTTCTGAGTTTATCTTCACTCCAGACAGCCTTCAAAATGGATATTATTGAAAGGATGCAATAATATACAAATATTGCAATGTTCCATAGTCTTTCAATTAATATTGAACAAGAATGGAAGAATAAAGAAAAAACAATGACAATATTGCAAGAAAATATGCCAACAAATCAACGATCATATTTTAGAACTCTTTTTGTATATTCACATTCTTCATAAGAGGGAATTACATACAGACAAGAATAAAAAGATTAGATAGATAGACAGAGAAGTAAACAAAACTTCTACCAAAACCTCACCTGCTTGATTAATGTTTAGGCACTATACTTATGCTAAAAGGTCTGATTTCTCAATATTAAAAGTTTCGATGATAAGCAGCACACCTCTTGCTTACGTTGAGAACATATTTTGCAGTTCCTAACAAAAATTTTTTACCAATCATTTCTGTCTGAAATATATACTCTCAACTCAAATATAGAGATGGGGAAGAATGTGGAGGCATTTCACCTTATTCTTAATAATACCATCAACACAGAAATACATTTTCAAAGCATTTTAAAAATAATTTTGCATATACCATCTTTCCATTTTATGTTGATAAAAGCTGAGGTGTTTTTTTAGGCAATTTGGTCCAGTTCTGCTGGACCAGTTGTTAAATTCTTCCTCTTTAAGAACAGAGAGAGGCCCAGTAGGCTCCAGCTGAAGGGAAAACTCATAATTTCCAGCAGCAGGATTGTACTGCTATCCTTTACACACTTGCTGTCTGGGCCCCTGATGGCTGCTTTCTCTTCAGCCATGGCCCCTGTTGGCACATGTGATCTGCTGCAGCTTTAGAACAAGTCTAGGCCAGTTCACTGCTAGACAAGATCCAGGTTGAGAGGCTAGCAGTGGGCCAGCCAAGCTGGAGGAGGAGGATGAGCCAGAACAGAACTAGTTGTCGCTATTGGAACCTGTTGCTGATCTAATTCAGATAACACCCCTGGATAAAAGCCATTCAACTAGGCAGAAGTCATTGGATTTAAAAGGTAGATAAATCCAAAAGGCTAAAGCTGGAATGTTCCTGTAGAAATGATTAAGGAGGGTCATTGCTCATTCACTTCTACTGAAAAAAAAAATATTGTTTGACACAGAGACACTTTGAGAGTACTGCCAGTGTTAATGGAATGCAATGACAAGTTAATGGTGAACTTTTTATGGTAGAACAAATACCTAGGACTTTTCTTTTAAATCTATGGCTGTCATATGTGAAGATGGTTTTGATTTTCCAGACTTTAAAGAACATTTGACATGAAAAAGACATTGATTTTTCACCGCTGTGGGCTTTAGTGGAGAATATTACTTGGTGCTGTAAAGTTTTTCATTCTTACTATAGCAGGGAGTGAAGGGGGTTAGACACATTGAGTTCTATTGGGTAGTAAATTAAATTTGACTCCAACTATCATGAAAAATTGATGCTAGGGAGTAATCCTATTTAAAAAATGATTGGAAAACTTTCTTTGGAAAATTTGGGTAGAAAATGGGATTAATGTTGTCAATCAAGTAGTGTGCAATGACACCTTTACAGTATTCCAAGCATAATAAAAGGAATGTAACTTACATAAAACAGCCAAATGCCAATATATGCATCTCTTAGCTTTATTATTTGGCCCTGATGCCTGCTTGGCTTCCAACATTTCTGAAGCATTGTGTATTGGAGAATGCCTTTACAGAGACCGAACTAACATTTGGTGTACAAAAATTAAAACTCTACAAGAAATATGGAATGGTGATTTGGAATATCATGCATTTCAAATCAATGGTTTCAGATTTTTTTTTTTTAAATGTCAGGTTTTGTATGATTTCAAAATTAATTTGATTCAGCAAAAAATACTGTACCAGATTCTAAATGTTGGTTCAATTAAATGTATCATCTTTCAGCCTTTGAATTAGATTGGCTGTGATGAAGAAGCAAAATTAGACAATATAATCCCCTATGGTATGAGTTTAATTCAACAATTAAAATTTGAATAGTAATGATTTTACTTACAAATACATAATTAAGACTTTTATACTGAAGAATGGTGAAATTTTGAAATCTTAGATTCCTTTTTTTTTTGTTATTTCTCCTTTAAAAAAAAATATTGAAATGATGGTTTTTTTCCTTTCATTCTTTCCCCTTTTTAGTTAATATTGCTTACAGTATTTCCTATAATAGTGTTATATTTTATACATGTTTGTTATTATGTGTTATCAGCCATGATGTCTTTATAAAATTCTTTTTTTTTTTAAAAAAAGTGAACACAACTTGCTTTTTGAAGAGCTTGCTCTTCATTGGAATAAATTAACAACTCATATTCACTGGGTGACTTCCACACTTGTAACAATTGATAGGGTTGGAATATAAATCCTTCCAGGATATATTATTTTATCTGATATGATATTATTATTTAAGAAACTTGCATAAAGCAAGAACTAACATTACTAAGAAATTTGCATACAAAGAGGTTTTGTTGATGCTTTAATCATGTAACATGTTCACACCTGGACTGAAAAGATCTTCCAGATGCCATCATAGTATGTAAGCTAAATATTTTTGATATTTTTTCAATGATTCATTACTGATTTGTATATCTACTCGGGACTGTCTTTTTGCTGGAAGACATCACAGAATAATAAAAATTCCCAGTAAGAACAACAATCACTACTTAGATAATAATACTATGCCAGCTGGAAAATGCTTATCTCATTCATTGTATCAAACTGATGCAAAGAGAAAACTTGCCACAATAACCAATCGACTCTACTGCAATGGAATTTAAAAAGACTATGGTGTTTCAATTTACTGTCTAACTTAGTGTTTCTCAACCTTGGCAACTCTAAGATGTGTGGGCTTCAACTTCCAGAATTCCCTAGCCAGCCATGCTGGCTAGGGAATTCTGGGCGTTGAAGTCCACACATCTTAGAGTTGCTAAGGTTGAGAAACACTGATCTAACCAAAGGACATCCAATTCATGAAGAATGTAATTCCAGACAAAGTATACAGAACAAGGTCATCTGATAAAGTAGATTATTCCTGTGAAAGAAATATCACTTCCTATTCCAGTGTTTTATCAGGTTATGCTGTGATGCATATTTGGAACTCCTACATGTGGGTATGAGGATTAGTCAGTCCCTGGGAACAACGGAATGTACATACAGATTGGCTTCTTCAGTTGTAAAGAGTAGGAATTCTGGTATC